ATAAAGAGAAATACTTTTAACTGATGGTATATGGAGGGGATTATAATCAATGTAATGAAACAAGTTATATGAACTGTTGAATGTGAAACTGATGATGTAAACTTTCACTCAATCCACAATAAAAACCTTAAAAAAAAAAAGTAAGAGATTCTCAAGGTTTCACAGAGATATGATGGAAGAAATTAAACCAAAATCTGACTGTCGAACCAAAATACTTTGCTGTGGCTATCTTTCAGTAATGATCTTCCCAACAGGGAACTGAAAACAGTCTTTTGCATAAACTATTCTAATATATAGATCCCAAGGAAATTATGAGCAACAAAAAATGTAGGGCATACTCAATGGATTTGGTGGCGATTTTCTTTTATCCTTAATGTGAAACTTTGAATTTTATTTTAGTATTTTCAGAAAAGGTTCAGTACAAGTGAAAGCAATAAAAGTCAATCAGATTTTTTTCACTGAAAGTCCTTATGTTTTGCCTCTAATTGCTAGCTCAGTCTATAATAGTTCTTGTTGTTAAGTGCCATCAAGTCAGTTCTGAAATACAGTTAGGAGCGCCTGGTGGTTTGAACTGGCAACCTTATAGTAAGCAGTACAGTGAACATCCTACAGCACCACATACTCTTTTAAGTCAATGTACAACAGTGTTTGTATTCAGAATAGTAACTAATTTTGTTGTTAGGTGCCATCTAGTCAGTTCCAACTCATAGCAACTCCAGGTACAACAGAAACACTGCCCCGTCCTGCACCATCCTTATAAATGTTATTATGCTTCAGCCCATTTCTGCTGACACTGTGTCAATCCATCTTGTTGGGGTCTTCCTGATTTTTCCTGACATTTCACTTTACCAAGCATGATGTCCTTCTCTAGGAACTTGTCCTTCCTGATAACATGTCTGAAGTATGAGAGACAAAGTTTCACCCTATCAGTCTCCCTAATATAGCTCTTAGAAGCTATTTGTTTTCAGCTTTATAATAACTCTTAGAGAGATCTTTTATTAGCTACTCTTTCTTCTGAATATAATGCTGTAGTTCTTTGATTAAAAAGAGCATTTGCTGGAAAATTGTATATTTCCGACCAATTTTTTTCCCAATTGCTAAACTTTTGCTTTTAAAATGAATATCATAGTAGAAGCTTTTATAGGCTGCAAGAATACTTATTAGCTTTATTAAATTACTAACATCTGTTATTAATGATGTTACTAATAAATACATAAAATGTTACCTTTTGAATTATCTTTACAATTAGAAGAACTGTTGGTCTGACAAAAATTTAAGAGGTCTATTTTTCCCATAATGAAATAATGTTGATGGATGACATTTTTGTATGGAAAATTATTCTTTTGATAATCAGGAACTGTCCAACTTTCACGTTCAGGAACAAGCAAAGAAACAAAATTGAAAGGAATGATAACAACAATAAACAAACAAAACAACAGTTAATAAAACAAATATAGTAAGGTTTAAACAGAACAGGGTTATTCACATTAAGCTACTCTTAGTTTTAACCTTACTGAGATCACATTCTAAACTATGAATAACTATATAGAGAGAGGTATAAGGAATCCCACTGCTGTTGAGTTGATTCTGACTCATAGCAACCCTGTATGGGGCTTCTGAGACTGTAAATCCTTACAGGAGCAGAAAGCCTCGTCTTTCTTACATGGAGCTGCTGGCGGATTGGACAGCTGACCTTGCAGTTAGCAGTCCAGTGCTTATCCAATAGTGCCAGCAGTGCTTTTGTAAAAGGAATATGCAACTGATTTAAAAATTTCAATTGAAAGTTTATTTTATAAAATATACAAAAATAAGTTAAATCTCTTATATTCTTTATTCTACAACTTTAGGACTTATCATTCAAGAGCATTGCATCCGATTAAACCAATGTTTTACTACTATACAGACTATATTATTTGTTAATCAATAATTATTTTCATCAATTTTTTTTCACCAATTATATGAGTTAAGAAGCAGTAAGTGGTATTAAGGTTTAAATTTGTAATAATAATTATAAATTGTAAGCAAAGTTATAATTCAAATAATATTTTCTATTAATTGAATAATATACTTAATAATGCAGGAATTTATCTAAATTCTACACATTGTTGTTGTTGTTAAATGCTGCTACGTTGGTCAGTTCTGACTCATAGTGACCCTGTATAGGGTTTCTGAGGAGCAGCAGGTAAGTTTGAACTGCTGATCTTGAAGTTCAAACCAACATTGAGGTTACTGCTTATCCTATGGTGCCAAACAGGATTCTAAGTTATGCATGTTGTTGTTGTTGCCATCAAAATGATTCCAACTCAAAAAGACCCTGTAGAGGGTTTCCAAGGAGCCGCTGGTGGGTTTGAACTGCTGCCCTTGTTGTTCACCGTCCAGTGCTGATCCTACAGCACCACACCAGAAGTTTGAGTTTTACATCGTCCCTCTTAAAATTTCATGAATTATACTTAACCAAAAAGGTCCTCTTATGTTACTTAGATTCTCAGGAGAAAGATAATGTTACTGTATTTCTTTAGGTACCACCCATCCTAAACTGTAAAGCTACTGCCAAATCACAATCAGTTTCTAATATGGCACATGGGATGAAAGCAAAGATATGTGATAAGATCAATCAATCAAATAAGAATAATCAAATAGTTATTAGGTAATATCACGTAATTACCCACTCACAGTGACCTCATGTACAACAGAACACAACATTGCCCAGCTCTGCACCAATTTCACAATCATTACTACACTTGAGTTCATTGCTGTTATCACTGTGCCAATTCATCTCATTGGGTGTTTGTCTCTCTTTCACTGACTCTCCACTTTACCAAGCATGATGTCCTTCTCCAGGGACTGGTCCCTCCTGATAACATGTTTGATGTATGAGAGAAGTCTGGATGTCCTTCAAAGGAACATCTGGTTATACTTCTTCCAACAGAGATTGGTTTGTTCTTTTGGTAGTCCATGATACTTTTAATATTCTCCTCCAACACCATAACTCAAATGCATCAATTCTTCTATGGTCTTCTTTATTCACTGTCCAACTTTCGCATGCATATGAGGTTATTGAAAATACCATGGCTTGGATCAGGTGCATCTTAGTCCTCAAACTGACATCTTTGCTCTTGAACACTTTAAAGAGTTCTTGTGAAGCAGATTTGTCTAATACAATACGTCATTTGATTTCTTGACTGAAGCTTCCATGAGTGTTGATGGTTTTTCTGAGCAAAATTAATTCTTTGATAGCTTCAATCTTTTCTCCATTTATCAAGATGTTATTTATTGGTCTGGTGGTGAGGCTTTTTGTCTTCTTTACATTGAGATGCATCCCATACAGGAAGTTGTGGTGTTTGATCTTCATCAGTAAGTACTTGAAGTCCTCTTAGCTTTTAGCAAGCAAGGTTGTATCATCTGCATAATGCAGGTTGTTAATGGGTCTTCAGTCAATCCTGAAGCCACGCTTTTCTTCATACAATCCAGCTTCTCAAATTATTATCTAAGTATACAGATTGAATACATATGGTGAAAGAGAAGAAATTAGAGAGCAGAGATGCTATTCATGTCCTTGAGGATATAATAATGGCTATAAACCTCTTATCTTTTGAGTTGTCCAGAAATTTGTCTCCTGATAAAATCATGCTGCCCAAAGCATATTTTCTGCTAAATATTGAGGTCTATGTGTCCAAACATGAGTTTTTTGGATCCAAGTGCATTACTTAGGCTCATCCCATTGACGCTAAGTTGATTCTGACTCCTAGTGATCCAAAAGGACAAGTATAGTTACCTCAAGGGGTTTCCAACTTTTTATATCTTTACAGAAACAGACATCTTTCTTCCGTGAGCAACTTGTAGGTTCAAAGCACCAAAAATTCAATTAGGAGCTAAACGTGTCAACCACTTCACTACCAGGGCTCCACTTAGGCTCATTGTTATTGTTAAGGGACATCAAATTGCTCCTGACTCATGGTGGCCTTCTGTAGGGTTTCCAGTGAGCAGATGGTGGGTCTGAACAAATGATCTTTCAGTTAGCAGTCCAGTGCTTATCCTACAGTGCCACACCAGGACTCCACTTAGGTATATAACTGTTCCAAAATACTGATAAGGACCTAAGTGAAACTGAACATATAAACAAAGAGTTGATATAGGAGCTACTAAGTGTAGGAACTTCATTCCTCTGGTTATCCAAGTTAATGTTTTATGGTCAAAACAGCTGAGATTCTAAATGAAATGTCAACAAACTAGAAGTAATGTTGAGGAAGCACAGTGGCTCCATAAAATAAGTACTGGTCTACAAACCACAAGGTTGAGGCTTTGAGCCTACCAGCTACTCCCACATAGATAAAAGCCTCAAAAACTCAATACAAGGTGGCTGAGTCAGAACCAACTTGATGGCATTTAAAAATGTCAAGAGTAATGTTTACTCTAAGTAAGAATTGGGAACTTGGTATAATTTTTAACATTACAAACATGTAAAACTAGATATTAATTTTATTTGTTGTTGTTGATCGGTGTCATTGAGTCAGTTCCAACTCATAGCGGCCCTATGCACAATAGAACAAAACATTGCCTAGTCCTCTGCTATCCTTACAACTACAGTTATGCTTGAGCCTATTGCTACTGCCACTGTATCAATCCATTGCATTGGGGGTCTTCCTCTTTTTTGCTGACCCTCTGTTTTACCAAGTATGTTGTCCTTCTCCAGGGCCTGGTCCCTCCTGATAATATGTCAGAAGTATGAAAAGTGAAGTCTTGCCATCCTTGCTTCTAAGGAGTATTTTGGCTCTTCTTCCAACACATATCTGTTTATTGTTCTGGCAGCCCATTGGTACTTACAATATTCTTTTCCAATACTATAATTTAAATACATCAATTCTTCTATGGTCTTCCTTATTCATTGTCCAATTTTCACATGTATAAAAGGCAACTGAAAATACCATGGCTTGAGTCAGGTACCTGCACCTTAGTCCTCAAACTGATTATCTTTAC